TATGAACACTAAATTATACAAAAAACGCTTTTCTCTACTCAGTTTGTATGTGATCTTTTGTATATGTATTGTTTATGTTTATTGTATTTGTGTTTCGAAATAAATTGATTTGACGCTAATTATATGACGATTCCTATGCAAATCATTTGTACCATTTGTCTAGAGAGAAATAAAAGTCATTATTATTATTATTATTAATTTTTTTTACCAAAGTTTGTGCTGGTCAGGCCCTTTACCCCGAAGCCCCGATACATTTGAGGAGGTACGACAGTATTATCAACCATTGACCACTTCCCACTCTGTGGGGTGAGTGATTTTTGGGTCCGAGAATCATGTGCCCTGAGTAAGCGCAGTGAACCGAGTCTTTTGCATCTGTCCGGCTAGGATTTCTTCCTTAGTGCGGCAACAAATATGATTTGGAGAGTAGAGAATGGATCATTCCACCAAGGACTTCAATAATCAGAACAATCATTTTGACAGAGTGATCTGGATGGGGTCTGCGGAGTTCTATATTTTGAACGGTTTCCGACTTGGTGTCAGAGTTCTGATCACCCCGTTCAGTGTCGAGAATTGAACCAAGTTCATCAGCTGCTCGGGCAACTGTCAAAAAAAATTATCCAATTCCTGCAGACAACGGGATCCTGACTCCTGATGACTTCACAGGCAACACCCAGTATTATTCTGTCATGTAGACACTCCAAACTCCAAAGCCCACGGCCTCCCTGTTGTCGGGGGAGTACAACCGTGAAACGGATGATTTGATATGCAAACTTCAACAGATGTGCATCGTTTTTCGGGTTTTTACGTCGAGTTGATTCAGCCCCTCCCGAGTCCACTTCACTACTCCAAACGAGTAGAGTAAGATTGGAACAGCAAGCATATTCGTTGCAGCAACTTTGTTTTTCCCCGATAGTTCTTGGAACCCACAAGGGCTCTCCCAACGTTATCCGGGGTTATCGGGTTGCGCAGTTCATTGAGCTCAGACTGTCGAAGCTCTCTGTTGAAAGCTTCGAACTGCGCTAGGGCTGGAGTGTCTAAGTTGAGTGGCTGCGGCTGTTCATAGATATCCTTCCAGAAGGATTCCACCTGATCAGCGGTCGGTGGATTATCCACAACACGTGGAGGCTCTTGGAATAAGCGAGAAGGTTTCTCGCGGAACCTAAGGTTTTCGCGATACTTCTCGCTCGCTTCACTAATGACTTCTTAGCAGCCACTAGCATTCGTATCCTATCAAGGCAGTGCTGTTTGGTGGTCACCAGCACGCCTTAACTCGAAATGTGATGGCAGAAGTAGGCTGCATATCTAAATGAGGATCTAGAAGTGACTTCGAATTGGGGTGAAAATAACCAGGTTCATATCAATGCCACGAAAACCTAGGCATCGGTTTTCTCCAAAAAGATCAATGTCTCCGAATCAGATTGAATTGAATGAACACCAATTTGTTTCGGCACAATCATGTCGCTGAAATTGCAAGGACTGCATCCTTGGAGAAACAACTCCCAGAAGTTGAAACTTGTGCGACCTGATAATAACCAAGATGTTATCTTTCAATATGCAATTTTTAGCAATGATAATTTTCGTTATATACTGAGGGTGTTATTTTTTTTTGTTTCAGAGTCAATTTGAATCTTTCAAACTAGATACATTGTACAAGACGTATACAGAAAAAATAAATCATGGATACTTCTCATTATTTCTAATACTCCAATGCATCCTAAGTTTGATGCATTTAGTGATAATTATCGTCAGTAACAAGGTATGTATCCTCTGGCAGATATTTCCCAAATGAATTTCTAGTTGAATGATGAAGTCAGTAAAAAAAGAATATGAAAACTTCATAATTTCAATCGTTAATAAAAATGATAAATCAGACTTGTTATTTATTCAATTTCAGAGGGATAAAGTTCAGCTTCAGCAGAAGGACTTCGACGATTTACGAGAACAGCTTGAAAATTACAAAAAGGAAAGGATGGAAGAAGAAAAAAAGTTTATCAAAACTATTCACTATTGGGAAAATGAGGTGAGAATAATAACTCTATAAGAGACTTTTAGAACTATAACAATTTATTGAAACTAGAGCCCAAAAACAAGGCATTTGTGAGCACTGATACTTTCTTTTTGAGCTCTGGCGTCAACTAGTTATCTTGTAGTGAAAGCTGCAGTAAAAAACAAACGACGAACCTCATTTGGCAGTCAATGCTTCACTTGCACGTTGCGAAGCTTAGTTTCGCATGCGCATCAAGCATGCACGTCGCCGACCAATCAGAACATTCCGCGGCATAACGGCAGCCTGTGGCAACTTATAAATAATCAAACATCGACAAGGGCATAAAACAAAACTACGACATTACTTGGGAAAGCACAAAAACGAAAATGTACTCTTGTAACATATCCAATATTTCGTCAAGTTTTATTATTATCATCAGATAATATATATGATAATATACAGTGCGGGCTGGCCAGAATGGCTAGCCCGCTCGCCAGATTTCACACCTTTGGACTTTTTTATGGGGCTATTTAAGCAAAAGGTGTACGAAACTGAACCTGCCTTGATATTGAATATACGGCATAAAATAATGAATATTTGTAGGGATATTGGCGTTACTGTACTGTGTTCGGCGTGAAATATCGGATAGGCTATTCATATGTCAAGAAGTTCAAGGCAACCATTTCGAGTATCTTCTGAACTGACCTCAAGCTTATTACCTCATATAATGCATTTAAATGTCAATGTATTCAAGTAATCATTAAAAGTTCAGCCATTTTGCAGTAGTTGAAGATATTGACATTATATTATATATATTACAGTTTGAAAAAGACTCATAGAAACGGACAAAACTTTGGAAACAATCTAATACTTATTCAATTTAATCGAGATAAGCGTCATTTGAATCAGGGCACAGTACACTTAATTCCGTCAGCATAAAAAATTGTGAGCTCGGGATTCGATGAATTGGACGAAGGCCGTTTTTGTCTGGTCCTGACGGCAAAGGTTCTACTGGTGAGAAAGCTATCGAAGTGCTTGAGAAGATGGTAGTCGGCGAGAGGTCTATATGGTATGGTGGGTGAGGCAGAACTTTGACGCTCAACTCGTTTAATTTTCCGTACCTCTTCTGTTGACCAGTGCCGGATGCTGCTGACGCAGTTTTCGGTACAGTTCGTCAATTTCCTCACAATGATTTGACTGGGTTACAGAAAGTTATAGTGAATCAAACCATTTCTCTGTGTTGGCCACAGTTGTCGGGATAAGCCTGGTGAACACTTTCGAAGTATTCCCCAAACAACTGCTTTTAATGTTACGTCACCGCGTGCACGTTGCCTTTCTCCAAGGTGAAGATGACCTGGAGCCGGTTGTTCAGTCTCATGGTCACCCTCCACAAAGAGTGATCGTGCACGTTAAGACTCTCGAGTTTTTCCTGAAATCTTTATTGGGATCGATATAACGATCAATATTAAAGCGGCTCCGCTTTAGATGGCCCATGCGCAAGGTCCAATTTTGTCACACTCTCTCTAATATATCGACCGGTATTTCACTTATAAATGCTTCAATATTGGCTTCCAGAGCGTCAGTCATTGCTGGTTTATCCCTGTAGACATGAGCCCCAACATGACCCCACAAGAAATAATCCAAAGGCGTTAAATCACACGATCTAGGCGGCCAATTGACGGGACCCAAACGTGAGATAAACTGTTCCCCGACGGCAGCTCTTAGAAAGCCCGTACACGAGCTACATTTTGCGGTCGGATCGACCACACATCTGCAGTCTCGTTCCAGCGAATTCAAGCCGCCCATAAGAAATACTGTACTACACGTACACTGGCGTTCACAAAAGTCAAAACGGGCGTCTGCAGTCAACTTGCTGCTGATCTCCGCCGAAATGTCATCGCGGTATACGCCGTACACTAACCACAAACTTGTCGCGCAACCAGAAGTGGATGTAGTGCTTCTTATTCGAAATCCATATTGAAACTGGCACTAAACTCACACCACAAAATATAAATGTCAGTTGCCTCAAATGCAAGTGCGGTTTATATGACCGCAAGTCGACCACAAAAATGTGGTTGGGTCAACCGCGAAGTGCAGTCAACGTGGCCACAATGTTGTGGTTGCCTCAACTGCAAATATGTGGTCCGTGTACGGCCAGACTTAATCGGGCCTTTGTTTCGCGTGCCGTGTGGCATGTGGCACCGTCTTGTTTAAATCACATGTCAGGCATGTCCAATTCTTCCATTTTGGGCAACAAAAAGGCGTCAATCATCACACGGTAGCGCTCACCATTCACAGTAACTTTCCGGCCATTGTCGTCTTTGAAGAAGTACGGCCCAATGATGCCACCGACCCATAATCCACACCAAACAGTGACTTTTTCGGGATGCATCGGTAGCTCTTGCAATGCTTGTGGCTGGTCTTCACTCCAGATGCGGCAATTTTGCTTGTTAACGTATCCAGTGAACCAGAAATTAGCCTCGTCGCTGAACACAATTTTTCGATAAAAATGTGGATCTTCCTCCAACTTTGCCAGCGCCAATTCACCAAGTGTTAGACGTTGTGGGAGATCGTGTGGCTTCAATTCTTGCACGAGCTGTATCTTATAAGGTTTCACACCCAAATCCTTTCGCAAAATTATCCACATAGTGGAGTAACAGAGGCTCAATTGCTGCGAACAGCCGCGATTCGACATTTCACGGTCATCACGAACACTGGCGGATACAGCCGCAATATTTTCTTTGGTGCTCAGTCTACGTAGGCGTGTTGGTGGTTTAATGTCCAATAATCTAAACTGAGTTCGAAATTTAGTCACAAGTTTCCGAATAGCTCCCTCAGTAGGCCATAAATTTGTGCACGATACACTTTCTTAAAAGATCATTAATTTTGATAATAAAATTCAATAATTTGCAAGCGTTGTTCATTCGTAAGTCGATTCATGGTTAAATTATAGACCAAACTGAACAAGTTTGACAATGTCATAAGACACGATTCATGCGTGATCTGTCAAAAACAGCGTTGCCAAAAAGATACCAGCAAAAATATCACTCATTATGTCTAGGACACACTGATCACAGACCTTGTCTATCTCGCTTTTACCAATGTTGTTCATGGACGTCCTAAACTCCGCCCAGTTCGTGCTCTTATAGTCGAAATTATACTTTTTGGTATTCAGTCTCGCTTTGTTCAGACTAAAGAGCACCGGAAAGTGGTCAGAGCCCAGTTCATCCATGGTAGACAATTCGCCTATATCCAAGACATTATTGTTAAATACGAGGTTGATAGTGGAGGGTGTCGAAGCATTCCACATATAATGAGGTGGCTCATCCGGGTGTTCTATGACAATATTGTTATTCAGGGAATAATCCAACAGCGTCCTCCCGTTTCTGCTGATTGTGTTGAAGTCCCCCACAACCAGTGACTTGTTCCCAACATTAAGCAAATTGTCCAGATCATGTGGAGTGAAGTGTCCAGCAAGCTTGATACTTACATGCTGGATGCTGCTTCCTTGCTGAGGTATCTGAATGTGTGCGATACCTTTTCTTATCAAGATAGCCACCCCACCGCCTGTCACAGCCCCTGGGCGGTCCCTCAGTGGTAAAACCTCGTAGCTTTAGTTTATGTCCCTGTAATGCAAAAAATCACTTGTTAATAAACCTATTAGGGGAGTTTAACATAAGACATCATATTCAGGAGCCTACGAGAATCACTAGTAGAAGCAATACATGTATAGACAATATTTTTTCGAACATTGAGGTCAAAAATGTTGATGTACATATCTCCTTTCTATCTGACCATACTTATCAAATATGTACTTTCTACGTAATAAATTCTGAGATCCGAAATACTGAATACAAATATAATAGGTCTTACAGTGAATCAAATATTTAAACTTTCTTAACTTGTATATCTCGTGAAAGTTGGGCTGAAGTTTATACAGCAAATACCTTTGACAAAAGATTCTCTTACACCCTGTATAATAATCAATAAATATAGTTTAAAAAACTAAAAAACACACTTTTAAAGAACATCGAACTGAATAGTTATAAAAGCATGTTTTATAGTCTTTATAAACTATATTCATCTTATCTAAACTTTGGGATCAATCAGCCGTGAATTGTTTAGAAAAATGACTATTGATATTTTCCGATTACGGAAAGGGAGCCTAGAAATTGGCTACCAAGCCCAAGGCAGCAGGCGCGCAAAGGAGAGTTACAAATAAGGCAGCAGGCGCGAGTGTTAATAAATAAAAATATTTTTTTCGAATGAAGAAATATCAAGGTTACGTAGAGCGCCATCTGCCCGCGATTAGATCAAGCAATAATGTCAATAATTCTGTCAAATACATATCCCGATATGAAATTGAAAGGAGAGTTACAAACATACACACATACATACAGTGAAACTAATATAAAGCGTGTAACAATGGAAAAAACTTTCAAAACAACCTAATATCAATCATATGGTCATCTATATCCCATATCAGGTTACTCTTAAGTTCCCAAGTATTTTTTAATTTTAATTTATATGTTATTATTCAAATGAGGTGATCAGCATATTCACTCCACTCTTAGCTATGCTTTGATTTCCAAATCGATATAGTTTTATAAGTAGAAGGACATAGTAAAAAGTTATATATAATCGTAGTTGATTCATTTATCTCAGAAAACATTCAAATTCAAATTTCAGATTAAAATTCTTTATTTACCAGTTGGGTACGAATTGTACATATGGCAAGTCATAATTTTTACAGTAAACAATGCA